TTTAATTATATGTATACAATCACAAGTAAAAATAATATCGTCACATACATTTGTTTGTTTGGATTCAGGCTCAAAACTATGTTTCCATAAATTAAAGATAAGTCACTAGTGCAAAAATAGCATATAACGTGAGTTCAACGTCGAACCACTCAATAGCCAACATTAAAAATGATCGGTGACATTTTTGTAAATAAATACAATTATTAAACATCGTTTAGAATTGTAATTAGACGTAAAAGGATATAAAACGTCGAATGTCTCAGCCTTAGACATCAAAATTAGTGAATTCAATAAAAATTTGAGCGGTAGATTGAAAATTCATTCACTTTATCTTAGCGCGCGAGACCCTCTTCTCTGCTCAAACTTTTCTCGAACGAAGTTTGACGACCATCACATAAAATATTTCTTTAATTTGATACAAATGCATATTAATTTACTACTTTAGGTATGATTTTTGTTTGTTTTGACCGATTATTTTCATGTTGTTGTCCTTCATATGCGCATTCTGTTTTCTCTTTCACATGTGACAACACTTTATTCTAATGAACCAAGGTTAGTTATTCGTTCATGCTTTACAAAATACCAAAAACTAAAATTTGTTGTTTTTTTGCTTTTCAGATTTCGTAGAGTGGTAAAAAAGGATCATAATTAATTTTAAAAAATAAAAAAATTGATTAACATCGTTTGATAAAATTCGATGTTAAATTTAAAGTCGAATTTTCGACGTCAATTTAACGTCTCCTGATATGACGTCATTCTCGAATTCGACGTGAAAGATCCAAAATATTCGACGTTATACGTTATTTTTGTACTAGTGAGTGTCATTCTTTAGTTTAAAAAAGATTAGACTATACTAAATATATGCCAACAAGTATCATTTCAATTATTTATAGATAAGGTTATAGGTACTCAATTAGATAGATATAAAGTTACCTTCTTGAATATAAGGTTACATAGATAATATTTATACAAAATTAATTAGATCGGTAAATGTCAAATATTTATGCGATGAGTTGAACCTCCCACGCCTGTTGCTCAGAACTGGTGGGGCTTCTTTCTTTCATGTTTTTGCCTTGTTTCCCCTCTTTATAGAAAAGAGCTACCTCCTACAAGGTTCCTTATTTCTTCTTTTCTTTTCATACCTTTTTATAAATTTCAAACTTATATATTTGTTTTCTGATAAGAAAAGTACTTGGTGATTTTGTTTATTGGTTAATGCAAGGTAGAGAGTTTTCTTATTTTATATTGTTAATTAATTAACGTCAAATTAGTTTAATAACAGAAAAATTTGTCAGTAATTAAAATTTACGGTGTGAAATTTATCACTTTTTTACACACGAGATTATTGATTTACAAATCCATCTATAATAAAATTTTAAATTATCAATAAATTTTAAGCTATTTAATTATTAATAAATTTTATCGATGAAGAAATTTGACGGTAATTAAAATTTTAAAAGCTGTTAATAAAATTTATTAATAATTTAAATTTATTGATAAATTTACTTTTATTAATAATTTTAATAATTTTTGTAGTTATACTTATTCTTAGATACAAGTAATAGTTTTCGCAATGAGTTTATATATATATATATATATATATATAGATAGATATAGGGGAGAAAAAGATAAACATATTATTGATAACCACTTTGGATAAGTTTTGTGTAAATATATTGATAGTATTTATTATTTGTTACAACTATATATCTCAACCTTATTTAATTATTTTGCCTATGATAGTGTTCTAATACAAAAACATAATGTCTACGGTATTTTTGTAGTGGTTTACTTGAATTAGGAGATAAAGACTCCCATATTAAGGTTGAATTAGTTAGCAAATATTAAGGAAAATTCGTTTTCAAATGGTTTTTTGGTCGTCCAAAATAAGGTGGAATGAATGAGTGACCACACAAACACAATAAAATCTCATTCATTGTCTTATAAAAGGATCCCATAGCACCCCAATTCTCTCATTCCAAGGGAAACAACATCAATAACCCATAAAATAAAAAAATCCATTAATCACCATGGCAAGGTCATTTGGTGTTGTTGTCCTCTTTATCTCAGTTTTGTGCTTCTCCTCTGCATTGGCTCGCAAAACACCTGAAAAATTCTTCGTTGAAGGCAAGATTTATTGTGATCCTTGCCACTTTGCATTTGAGTCTAGACTCAGCTTCCCCTTGTCAGGTAAATTTCCTTAATCATGCATTTAAAGTTATACATGTTACAATTTATCATGATCACATGTTTAAGTCCTATCATAAGCCATTGACGAAAAATAAGGAATGGTTGAACATGTGTTTATAGGTGTGAATGTGACTCTGGAATGCATCAACGAACAAAATAACACAGTGAGTTATACAAAGGAAAGCAGAACTGATGCAAATGGGTTGTACAGCATCCCTGTCCATGGTGATCATGAGGATGACATCTGTGTGGTAGTTGCAGACTCACCAAATGAGGGAGAATGCAAAGAGGTAATGCCAAACAAGTCCGATAGGATCATCCTCACCAACAACATGGGTGCTGCCTCTAGGGCACGCTACGTCAACCCCCTTGGTTTCATGACACAGACAATTGATTCCCAATGCAACGTCGTTGTTCACGAATTAGGACTCGACAACCTTGATGACTAAGTGGAATAGAAATGTTCATTAAACTCCACCCAAAAGACAAAATTTATCATTGGATCAATTGTCTTGTATCATTTTAATTAACCATTATCCATGATGTTTGTTGTTATTGCAAACACAATATTAATGAAATAAATCGTATTTGGATTTGGTACATCACTCTCCTCAAAGTGACTCAATCTATTACTTACCACATATATCATACAAGGATTTTACACACAAAAATGTTCATAACATATTTCTTGATTAATAAACAAACATGAATTGCAAGTTTAGCTCAATTGTTGCATTATCAAATTGGCCATTTAAGTACCTATGTTAGAGCCGCACGACCCTAAGAAAACGTCATCTAATTCAATATTTTGTCCCTACCAAAATTAATAGAATTTTTTTTACCTGAAATCTCATCTTTCCAACTCACTTAAAATTTTCACCTAAATAAAATATTTTATTTTCTTTACCTTATGACACAGTGTAGATTATGTGTATGAAGAAAACATTGTTTAGTCACCAAGTTTAGAATTTGATTTCCAATTGTGAGTGGGTATAGAGGCTAGCCGGAAAACTAACTAGAACTCAATTCTCATAAAATCGAATTTCGAATTGTTTGTCTATATTTATTTTCCTTTTGATTTTGAAAATTACCAGAAGAAACAATGTTGTTAAGGAAAATACATTTTTAGTAAAAAAAATAATTTGGAAAGCAATTTCAAAATAAGAGATTAAATTTCAAAAATAAGCCTATAGGATATAAATATTTAGAAAATTCAAAATTTGGATAAAGAATTTTTTATAAACTCATATTTTAAGGAAATTTTAATAGAAAAATATGTAAATAAGAATATTAACCATAAAAAAAAGAATTATAAGAAATTTTATAATTAAAAAATAAAAGAAAAATTGTGCGTGTATGCATGTGTGTGTGCGAGAGTGTGTGTGTGTGTGTGTGAAAGAGTGTGTGTTTGTGTGTGTGGGTGTGTGTGCATGTGTGTGTGTTTCTACGTCTGTGCATCAGTGCCTCTATGTGTATCTGTGTGTGAGTGTGTGCGTGAGCGCGTGTGTGTTTATGTTCATGTGTCTCTGTGTGTGCATATGTGCATCTATGTGTGTGTCTGTATGTGTGTAAATTACTTTAATTTGTATAATGTTTTCTTTTGAATTACAATATTTAATGGTTATAATATTTTCTTAAATTATATGCAATGCTTTTGTTGTATGATATTCATCTTGTGAATATGCAGGGCAACAATGTGTACATATACATAAATGGTCACGATCATTGCCTCCAACATATAAGTAGCACAAATAGGTACGAAAAGGGTAAACACTTTTTTTTTACTTTGTTGTACTTATATTTTGAAAGCAATAAAATTTAAATATATAGATTTTGTTATACTTAGTTGAATTTGATTGAAAAAATGTAACTCAATATAATTCACACAACAAAAAATCATGTTTACGGTGACAGTTTTAATATGACAGTTGCTAAAATGAAAAATATGACGTTTTTAATTGTCATTTTTTAATAAATCTTGAAATTATTTCTTATATACAAAAATAAACGTCGCAGTTTACACAAGATTTTATAATAATGTGAGTTCATATCAACTAAATTCAAGAGATGAATTTTGTTGAATAAATGTGTTTCTGATGAAGCAATATAAAAATGATTGCAGTCCACTTTTGTATTTAACGAGTGGAGCTGGTTCAAAGGCATGGAGAGGTGATGTTAAAGAGAGTGATTCTGATGTGAAATTCTTCTATGATGGTCAAGGTTTCATGTCAGTTCAAATGACTGAAACTGAAGCAAAGTTTTCCTTCTACAATGCCTTTGGTGACAGAATACACCATTCCAGAGTCACCAAGCCCACCATGCATCCTGTTTCATGAAATGTAAACTAAATGTCCAACAAAATCTCAACACAATTTTTTATGTAGTCCTATTGTATATAACATTCTTCATCTTTACCACTTTCACTGCTGTATAAACATTTTTTCTATATTCTATTCGTCATTACTAGAAGAGATACTAAAATGTACAGATAAACATAATCCTAAACTTTTACTGGTAATTAAATTTCCCCTTGTAGTTACCTCCAAGTTTAACAATGTCAATCTACTCCCACAACTTATTTGTCACTTTTGCAAATAATAATGTCACACAGAAACTAAAGAGGGATATATTTTCTCTCAATCTTTGCCTATATAATTGTAAATGAAATTTAGTGTTCTCAAATGCCTCACAGATAAGCATGTGAGGAGTTCATAAATATGGCATACATAAATATTTTTGCTTCGTGAATAAAGATAGATGGAGAAGCACAATTTTTTTTTCCTTTAACTGAATGAAACGAATAAAAAAGATAGCAAATAAAAATTACTACAAACAGCCTGATAAAAATGTAGGTAAATAATGTTTAACCTATGTTTGGAAAACAGTTCATTCCAACGTAAAGATGGCATTACATTCAACCAAAAACTGCTGTTGCTCCTCCAATTTCACTATAAGAAAGTGCAACTGCATGTTTTTGGTCATTCAAACGGCAATCCAAACATACCATGCATCATTGGATTTTGCTCTGCACTCCACTTCTCCTTGTCTTCATCATCTATGGACTATAAATTCTACCCGCGTCCAATAGTCTCAGGTGGTTTGGAGGCTAAACCTCCATGGTCAGGTATGTATCAAGTAAACTCTCTCAACTTGTCAGAAACCTTCTGTAAGCGCATAAGTTCGACCAGCTAAACTAGGAGGCAAAGCACTTACAGCTTGTTGAATTTCCTGAAAATATCATAAGCACCGCCAGAAAAAGCATTAGTGTACCTATGAAAAAGTATTACTAGACAAAGGGTCTATGTGAATAAACTTTTCCATGGACACATTTAAGAGATAAAAGAAACAAAAATTAAGTTTTTAGTTAATGTATAAATTAATTTATAAAAACTGTTGAATTAGCTTCTCCAAAACCTTTACTAACATGCACAAGTTAATCTTATGCTTTATGGAGAAACTTTTTTAATTTTTCCTCCTTAATTTATCCAAAAAGACCCTAAGTAAACTAATATTCCACAAGCTAATAAGAAGGATCACAAACTCAGGTTTTTTTTTTCTTAATTAACTTGAAACATGGAAGGCACCTATTCCACATCGGAATTTCTTATACTGAACACGGGAAGCTATACCAACCTTCTTCCAGGATCACAATCTAAAGACCAAGACTACGAGGTGATGTATCATTTACTATAATCAAGAGCAATGGAGTTATACCTCTACTGTGTAACGTGCTGAGAAGTGAATCAAAAGGATTGCTCTGTTCTGTAACCTCTCAGCATGACTTATTATCTGAAGAACATTAATTAGAAACACAATGATAAAACCACTCACGTATACATGAATGTTTGTTTTAATGATTGCAGCAGGTAGCATACCTCAGAGAGATGAGTGTGTCCATAATCTCTGGCATGTTCCACAGTCATTGAATCGTTAACAAAGGTGCACTATATGGATAAAAGAAAAAGGGAAAAAATGGCTGTAAAACCATAATATCAACCACCAACAAAAGTTATAGACAGGGAAAAACGAGAATCAGTTCATTGAGAACGCAATACGGTAATCTGAAAGAATTAACCAAATAGATATGAGATGCCCTCTATAACAAAGGAGAACCAAGTTCTTCCCCAGAATAAATAAGAGAAAACAATATATATATATATATATATACATACATACATACATATATATACATATATATACATACATATATACATACATATATATATATACATATATATATATATACATATATATATATATACATATATATATATACATATATATATATATACANATAATTAAAAAATAAAAGAAAAATTGTGCGTGTATGCATGTGTGTGTGCGAGAGTGTGTGTGTGTGTGTGTGAAAGAGTGTGTGTTTGTGTGTGTGGGTGTGTGTGCATGTGTGTGTGTTTCTACGTCTGTGCATCAGTGCCTCTATGTGTATCTGTGTGTGAGTGTGTGCGTGAGCGCGTGTGTGTTTATGTTCATGTGTCTCTGTGTGTGCATATGTGCATCTATGTGTGTGTCTGTATGTGTGTAAATTACTTTAATTTGTATAATGTTTTCTTTTGAATTACAATATTTAATGGTTATAATATTTTCTTAAATTATATGCAATGCTTTTGTTGTATGATATTCATCTTGTGAATATGCAGGGCAACAATGTGTACATATACATAAATGGTCACGATCATTGCCTCCAACATATAAGTAGCACAAATAGGTACGAAAAGGGTAAACACTTTTTTTTTACTTTGTTGTACTTATATTTTGAAAGCAATAAAATTTAAATATATAGATTTTGTTATACTTAGTTGAATTTGATTGAAAAAATGTAACTCAATATAATTCACACAACAAAAAATCATGTTTACGGTGACAGTTTTAATATGACAGTTGCTAAAATGAAAAATATGACGTTTTTAATTGTCATTTTTTAATAAATCTTGAAATTATTTCTTATATACAAAAATAAACGTCGCAGTTTACACAAGATTTTATAATAATGTGAGTTCATATCAACTAAATTCAAGAGATGAATTTTGTTGAATAAATGTGTTTCTGATGAAGCAATATAAAAATGATTGCAGTCCACTTTTGTATTTAACGAGTGGAGCTGGTTCAAAGGCATGGAGAGGTGATGTTAAAGAGAGTGATTCTGATGTGAAATTCTTCTATGATGGTCAAGGTTTCATGTCAGTTCAAATGACTGAAACTGAAGCAAAGTTTTCCTTCTACAATGCCTTTGGTGACAGAATACACCATTCCAGAGTCACCAAGCCCACCATGCATCCTGTTTCATGAAATGTAAACTAAATGTCCAACAAAATCTCAACACAATTTTTTATGTAGTCCTATTGTATATAACATTCTTCATCTTTACCACTTTCACTGCTGTATAAACATTTTTTCTATATTCTATTCGTCATTACTAGAAGAGATACTAAAATGTACAGATAAACATAATCCTAAACTTTTACTGGTAATTAAATTTCCCCTTGTAGTTACCTCCAAGTTTAACAATGTCAATCTACTCCCACAACTTATTTGTCACTTTTGCAAATAATAATGTCACACAGAAACTAAAGAGGGATATATTTTCTCTCAATCTTTGCCTATATAATTGTAAATGAAATTTAGTGTTCTCAAATGCCTCACAGATAAGCATGTGAGGAGTTCATAAATATGGCATACATAAATATTTTTGCTTCGTGAATAAAGATAGATGGAGAAGCACAATTTTTTTTTCCTTTAACTGAATGAAACGAATAAAAAAGATAGCAAATAAAAATTACTACAAACAGCCTGATAAAAATGTAGGTAAATAATGTTTAACCTATGTTTGGAAAACAGTTCATTCCAACGTAAAGATGGCATTACATTCAACCAAAAACTGCTGTTGCTCCTCCAATTTCACTATAAGAAAGTGCAACAGCATGTTTTTGGTCATTCAAACGGCAATCCAAACATACCATGCATCATTGGATTTTGCTCTGCACTCCACTTCTCCTTGTCTTCATCATCTATGGACTATAAATTCTACCCGCGTCCAATAGTCTCAGGTGGTTTGGAGGCTAAACCTCCATGGTCAGGTATGTATCAAGTAAACTCTCTCAACTTGTCAGAAACCTTCTGTAAGCGCATAAGTTCGACCAGCTAAACTAGGAGGCAAAGCACTTACAGCTTGTTGAATTTCCTGAAAATATCATAAGCACCGCCAGAAAAAGCATTAGTGTACCTATGAAAAAGTATTACTAGACAAAGGGTCTATGTGAATAAACTTTTCCATGGACACATTTAAGAGATAAAAGAAACAAAAATTAAGTTTTTAGTTAATGTATAAATTAATTTATAAAAACTGTTGAATTAGCTTCTCCAAAACCTTTACTAACATGCACAAGTTAATCTTATGCTTTATGGAGAAACTTTTTTAATTTTTCCTCCTTAATTTATCCAAAAAGACCCTAAGTAAACTAATATTCCACAAGCTAATAAGAAGGATCACAAACTCAGGTTTTTTTTTTCTTAATTAACTTGAAACATGGAAGGCACCTATTCCACATCGGAATTTCTTATACTGAACACGGGAAGCTATACCAACCTTCTTCCAGGATCACAATCTAAAGACCAAGACTACGAGGTGATGTATCATTTACTATAATCAAGAGCAATGGAGTTATACCTCTACTGTGTAACGTGCTGAGAAGTGAATCAAAAGGATTGCTCTGTTCTGTAACCTCTCAGCATGACTTATTATCTGAAGAACATTAATTAGAAACACAATGATAAAACCACTCACGTATACATGAATGTTTGTTTTAATGATTGCAGCAGGTAGCATACCTCAGAGAGATGAGTGTGTCCATAATCTCTGGCATGTTCCACAGTCATTGAATCGTTAACAAAGGTGCACTATATGGATAAAAGAAAAAGGGAAAAAATGGCTGTAAAACCATAATATCAACCACCAACAAAAGTTATAGACAGGGAAAAACGAGAATCAGTTCATTGAGAACGCAATACGGTAATCTGAAAGAATTAACCAAATAGATATGAGATGCCCTCTATAACAAAGGAGAACCAAGTTCTTCCCCAGAATAAATAAGAGAAAACAATATATATATATATATATATANAATGTTTGTTTTAATGATTGCAGCAGGTAGCATACCTCAGAGAGATGAGTGTGTCCATAATCTCTGGCATGTTCCACAGTCATTGAATCGTTAACAAAGGTGCACTATATGGATAAAAGAAAAAGGGAAAAAATGGCTGTAAAACCATAATATCAACCACCAACAAAAGTTATAGACAGGGAAAAACGAGAATCAGTTCATTGAGAACGCAATACGGTAATCTGAAAGAATTAACCAAATAGATATGAGATGCCCTCTATAACAAAGGAGAACCAAGTTCTTCCCCAGAATAAATAAGAGAAAACAATATATATATATATATATACATACATATATATACATATATACATATATATATATATATATACACACACACACACACACACACACACATATATATATATATATATATAACACAACAGAAACAAGTTCAAATTAAATTGCTTTTACTCCTTTACATAAAAAGTCAAGGTCAAGTTTTCTAGCATTTAAGGAAGGAGTATGACTAGCAAAGCTTCTATATTACTAATCAGTAATTTATAGCCACAAAAGTATAGAATAAAGTAATTCACCTCCAATACAAGAATTTTAGCCCGTAAAACGTCTGTGTTATTTTCATCAATGATGAAATCTGACATGGTATCTCCCGTGAAAGCAATCTCTGGTTCTGTCAAAGTGTATGTTATCTGCCAACGACCCAGCATGGTTGAGCATTTAAAACTAAAAGATAGACCTAACCTTCTATCCCAGAGTTCAATGGTTCATAGGTTGTCTTAAGAAAACTTAATTAAATAGTTAGTGTCGAAAAATTTATCAACTTAATTTATATGATTTAGCATATCTAAAGCAGAAATACTATACATAATGAAAAACCTTTATAGCAAGAATGAGAACAACGTTATAGTGCGCTAATTTTTCAGAATTATATAGTATACAACATATGAACTGAGAAGGACACTAACACAAACTATACATCATAGAGACATGTCTGTTGAAAGGATTAACGACAAAACAGGTTACGGAGGATGGTACTACTTTGATACCATATTGAAAGAATTAGTGCACATATAATAAATTTCGTGTATTGTGTACACATGATTATTCTTATTTATAATGGAAAAAGAGATACAATAATAAGAAACAAAATCAAAATCTAATAATGATAATCAAATCATATCATATCTCCACATTTATTCCCTAACATAATCAAATCATATCTTTAACAATATCCAATCAACATAAATCATGGAAACAGTGTGTTGAGCTATTCAGTACAAGTTGAAATAGTACTTTCACAGAAACATTTGTTATTATTTATAATGGAAAAAGAGATACAATAATAAGAAACAAAATCAATATCTAATAATGATAATCAAATCATATCATATCTCCACATTTATTCCCTAACATAATCAAATCATATCTTTAATAATATCCAATCAACATAAATCATGGAAACAGTGTGTTGAGCTATTCAGTACAAGTTCAAATAGTACTTTCACAGAAACATTTGTTATTATGCTGTCAGTTCATGACTTGTCATCAGAAGTAAACAACAAAATAAGTGAACATGTTGCAGGTCGGTTAATATCTGTTGGTGAGAACGTTCGTTTACTTTTAAAATCTGCTACTTTGTTAGGTTGAAATACAGATGGCTTGAGATAGAGAAGAATTATAAGACGTTGACAAGGAGATCTATTAAGTCTTTAGGCATAGGGAGGTGCCTGAAATTCCATCTTTGCAATTGAGATTTATCCCTATTTCTTCCGAATAAAGATACCAGGTTTCTATTATAAAACAATAAATTAAAAGCATTAAAATTGGTTGACACAAACCGATGATTGTTAAATTTGTCAAATGTCAATTTGCCAAATCATTGATTACTACAGTAGTTAAGACTGACCTGCTCGCCGGACGACTTCAAATTCTTAATTTCATTTCCAGAAAGGCCAATATACTCCTGTTTAAGTTTCTGTTTCACAGAATATATTATATAACCCTGCCAAAAACGTGCATAAATAGTTAGGCCTAACCAGGGAATGCTTCGGGTGTTGATTTAAGGATGCTTGAAAAGTCATTTCAAGATTTGCTTGCTGAAAATGTGATAAACAGTGCAACGAATTGCACATCTATTAAAAGTTTTGTAATTAACATCATTTTAAAACTTCTTTACGTATCTAAAATTACAAAACATATGTTTGCACTACTAAAAATGCAAGTTTAAACTTCAAAAAGATAAAGCATGAATTTAACATAAAATGAAGGTTCTTTATATTCTTAACAGTCCAAAGCTTCAAAAACAAGGCACTGTGGTCTTTCTAATAGGTTCAAGTGGAAACAATTTAAAGAACTCAAGTTTGTGATTTTCACCATTAAAAATCATCAGAAATCTAAAATCAATAGCCAGAACATATTTTTTAAAAACAAGGACAAGTAGTGATTATCTTAAGACCAAAAAGAAAAAAATTGTCTGGCTGGCTACCTGGCTAGGTATTACATGGTAAGTCCGGAAAGCTTTTACTTTAAGATCCTTTCTCAAATAAAACTCTTCTCCTGCAATAAGTCTTGAATTAGCAACAAAAGAATACATGAGATGAGAGACATAAAATTCAACTGTGTAGTGCAGTAGTTTAATTGAGACAACCAAATAATTACCTACATCCAAGCCAATCAAGTTGTGCTTAAGTTCTGATTGATCCATTTTCCTGTGAATCTCAAAAAGCTTCTCTACATCCTCTTTTACTGAAATTGGTACAATAATTGTTGGGGGCTTCATTCGATACAAACCACGTGTGGCAACATACATCGGTAGCCCTCCCTGTCAAAAAAGTAAATCACTCACTCGATAAAGCTCCATTTCTAAAAATATTTATCTAAAAGGAAAAAAACAGAAAAATTATTTGTTGACTAAATAAACATTACAGTATTTTATATATATGTGAATCAAAAATTCAAAAACTGAGTCTTGGGCATGCATGTGATATGATGATCCAAAGAAAGAAACTAACAATGTGATCCATGTGAGCATGGGAGATCAAAAGGAAGTTTTGGGAAACAGCACGAGGTGGGCAGCGACCAATGTCAAATGCTATTTTAAGTGTGGGGAAAAGTACACATGTTTCATGGCCCCCAATGGACAAACCCCCAACAGGATATCCTTCAATCTCCAAATCCTTTGCTGTCTTTGAAGATTTGTCCGAGCCTCGAATTTCTCTGGTTGAGGTTAGTACCTCAGTTCCGGCTTCCATGAACAACAACTGAACAAGAGAAGATGGAGATAAAGAGCAGAGAGGGTGAGAATATCCAAGTAGAAAATAACATAATGAATAGCATTCCACTGATAACAGTAAGTAAAAAGGAAAATACAATCGAATAAAAATTTAGAATGTCACCAGAAATACAAGAGATGAAAATATACTATCATCCTTTACCAAAACCCACAACTATTGTTGACTAAACTTGAAATACAAAATTCTGAAACCTGAAGTACCACACAAGTGATAAAGCTAGATACAGTGGCAGACACTGTTTTAGACACCACTTAAAAGTTCTACCAGATTGAACTATACCCTAAAACTAAATACCCATATAACATTATCAGTCAAATTAGGTTGCTAGCATGGTAATCCATATTGCCTCGAACAGATGATGCATCAGAAGACAAACAAAAGAACCGCCTAATTTCAAATGGTTGCATCAATAATGTCGCAACGAAATAATAGTAATTTACTCAGTAATATGTAAATTTGTTAGAGCACCCAATCATTTAATTTCATTTGCTTCATACTAAAAGCCGGAAGTAAAGAAAGAAAGGAAGGAATTAGGTTGTAACAAGAGCTATTGGAACCAACCGAGTGACAGCGATGAGGAGTGGAGGAGCTTGGTGAGATCGCCGGGTTGTTGGTCGGAGGAGAAAAGAGGGAAGGAGTGGGTAAAGAACGAGTGGGAGATCACCACATTATATTTTTTAAATTATTAAAGTAAAAATGAAATAATAAAATCTTTAATAGGCCTTCACTAATTAATATATTTATTACTTATTATCTATCTTATTTCATCCATATTATTATCTATATTCTATTATTATATAGAAGATTTCTATGTACACATTTTTTATAATTTACTCTTTAACAATTGAATTTAAATTAAGATCATTTAAAGGGATAAAAATGAAAGTTATTTATGTCTTTTAACTCCTTAAAAACTTATATGTAAAACTAAAATTTTCTTTTCATCAAATATATTTATATTTCAAACTTTAAAAATAAATAAATATAATTTTTCTATTCATTTTATTAAATTTTGTTGACGTGTTAATCGTGTTTTAATATCACGTTTAATTTGTTTATACCGTTTTAATATGTTTTAATTTAAATGTTAATTTAAAGCATGGTTAATCAGTTTAAAATACTTAATATTATTATATTAAAAAATTATATCTATTATTTTTAAAGTTTGAAAATAAAAATATATCAAAATGTATACTTAACTTTTTTAGTTTTAAATAATGATTATTTAAAAAAATTAAATAACAAAGAAAAATTTTACACAAAGAAAAAGAAAAATCTTTTATATTTAGGTATATATATTTAAATTAATTATAATTACATGTAAAATTAATTATAATTTATTTTGTATTAAAAGCATAAATAGACAGTAAATATATAACAAGTAAAGAAAAGAAATGAGAAGTATCTCCTTGCATAAATATATTTCTTACACGTCTTTTGTAAAGCATTTTATGTATTTCAAATCATTTTCTTAATTCCAAATTTTCTTATTGTTGTAAGCAAAATTAGACTAACTTTGCAGATAGAAAAAAAATAGAACAAATTTTATATTAGAATTTCTACTTATGGTTGGTTGCACGCACTCTTGTCTTAAAATGAGAAAAAATCATTAGAATTTAGAATTTCCAACAAGACACAAACCTCACATATTGTAAGCAGTAAGCTCTAATAGAGATAAAAATAAAGAAAATAGTAGAAGAAAACATTAGCAGGAACAGCAAAAATGTATAAAATAATTTCAAAGGTAGGAAAAATGAAAATCTGAATTAAGAATGGGTTTCCCTTGCTGTAAAAGTTAATATAATAAGACAAGCAAAAAGGAATGGAGAAAACAAAAGGATTAAGAAGTGAATCAAAAAGCCCTGCCTCCTTCCCTTGTTCTCTCTTTTGCAGTATTCTATCGTGTGACGTGTTGAATGTTGCCGCTCTTTACATTTGCTTCATACTCATAATGTTGCTACCATACCCTTTTAAGCCTTCCTTCTTATCTCACATTGCTCAATGCTTTGCATCGCTCGTCTCATTGCTTTCGTCTTCTTTCCCTACTACAGCTTCACCCTCACCCTCTGTTCCATCTGCATTTCCATTGCATTCTTCCCTACCTACCATATTTCCATCCACTTTACCTTTTGGTGAAGAATTTGTGGTGTTATGGTTAGATTTCCAACTTTCCTTTCCCGACATGGCTGATGATGTGTTTTCCCCGCTGGGATTCCCGTCAGGTAAGTGTTGAGATGAAGTGGTGCCTGAGCCAGGTGGAGGGAGGAAGACTCCTGTGCCGGGAACAGGCATTCGTGGAGGTGGATGCCTCTGAGGAGCAGAGGCCCATCCGGTTGAACCAGGTGGAATTGGCACAGCTGGAGGATATGAAATGGGAGGTGCAACTGCTGCTGGCACAAACAATGTCTGCATACTGTTTGGAGGTGCTCGAATGGATGGCGCCGGCAGTACTCCGGTTGCCGGAACAGTGGGATAATGCTTCGGGCCTAATTGATGGCGCATGTGATTGGGATTTCGGCTCGGTGGTGGTGCCCAATGAGATGTCAACGGCGGACTAAGTCGTTGAGAATCACTTGGCAGAGAAGTTTTTGGTTGGGACTTTGTGAAGGTCACAAGTATCCGTTGTTTGTGAATAGAAGGAAGTGCATGTTTAGCTAAATCAGTTGATTTCCCTTGCATCACCAGAAGGGACCTTCGGTTGCCAGAGTAAATAGGTCATATCAGGAGAGAGCTCACCACAGGGAAATCCAACAAATTTAAAAATCACTAACATGACAGACTATAATATAACAGATAAAATTGATCTCAAGTTAAAATAATAAAATTTTAGCCAAAAGAGAATTTTTGAGTGAAATATGAAAAGAAGTCTTTATAAACATAAGAAATGCAAAAGAATATTTAATAATTGTTGCTATCTAATCAGTATTGGTATAAAAATTTAAAATCAACACAAAACAAGGCAATTGAAAAGTATCTGTCATGGTTACCACATCACAAAACCACTGCTTTAAATTGTACATTATTCTCCTCAGGTATTCAGTATAGAATGAGAATAGAGGGCATAGCAAGCAACATTATGCTGCATCAGCAAATGTAAAAGCAGAGAAAAATTCAAGTTCAACAAAAGCCATTTTCAAAAAAATAGAAGGCTGTAGTAATAGTTGAAAAAACTTCACTCCAATGACAAATATTGTCAGCATATATCTCATGGCAGAGAAAACGTTTTCTAGAACCAGAGTCGAACTACAATTACAATAATATAATAGGAAACAGATTTCATCTTTAAGAAAGAAATACAAATCCTCAGAAAACGTATCTTCAACAGTGTATCAAAGTAACTAAAATTTGTTGATGCACATGGCTTTATTTCGAGTGGAAACAAACATCTAATTCATGGATTAACTAAAGGATGTTGTTATTCATGGATTAACTCAACATCAAGAGATAGATTTATCAACTACAGACNTATATATGTGAATCAAAAATTCAAAAACTGAGTCTTGGGCATGCATGTGATATGATGATCCAAAGAAAGAAACTAACAATGTGATCCATGTGAGCATGGGAGATCAAAAGGAAGTTTTGGGAAACAGCACGAGGTGGGCAACGACCAATGTCAAATGCTATTTTAAGTGTGGGGAAAAGTACACATGTTTCATGGCCACCAATGGACAAACCCCCAACAGGATATCCTTCAATCTCCAAATCCTTTGCTGTCTTTGAAGAATTGTCCGAGCCTCGAATTTCTCTGGATGAGGTTAGTACCACAGTTCCGGCTTCCATGAACAACAACTGAACAAGAGAAGATGGAGATAAAGAGCAGAGAGGGTGAGAATAACCAAGTAGAAAATAACATAATGAATAGCATTCCACTGATAACAGTAAGTAAAAAGGAAAATACAATCGAATAAAAATTTAGAATGTCACCAGAAATACAAGAGATGAAAATATACTATCATCCTTTACCAAAACCCACAACTATTGTTGACTAAACTTGAAATACAAAATTCTGAAACCTGAAGTACCACACAAGTGATAAAGCTAGATACAGTGGCAGACACTGTTTTAGACACCACTTAAAAGTTCTACCAGATTGAACTATACCCTAAAACTAAATACCCATATAACATTATCAGTCAAATTAGGTTGCTAGCATGGTAATCCATATTGCCTCGAACAGATGATGCATCAGAAGACAAACAAAAGAACCGCCTAATTTCAAATGGTTGCATCAATAATGTCGCAACGAAATAATAGTAATTTACTCAGTAATATGTAAATTTGTTAGAGCACCCAATCATTTAATTTCATTTGCTTCATACTAAAAGCCGGAAGTAAAGAAAGAAAGGAAGGAATTAGGTTGTAACAAGAGCTATTGGAACCAACCGAGTGACAGCGATGAGGAGTGGAGGAGCTTGGTGAGATCGCCGGGTTGTTGGTCGGAGGAGAAAAGAGGGAAGGAGTGGGTAAAGAACGAGTGGGAGATCACCACATTATATTTTTTAAATTATTAAAGTAAAAATGAAATAATAAAATCTTTAATAGGCCTTCACTAATTAATATATTTATTACTTATTATCTATCTTATTTCATCCATATTATTATCTATATTCTATTATTATATAGAAGATTTCTATGTACACATTTTTTATAATTTACTCTTTAACAATTGAATTTAAATTAAGATCATTTAAAGGGATAAAAATGAAAGTTATTTATGTCTTTTAACTCCTTAAAAACTTATATGTAAAACTAAAATTTTCTTTTCATCAAATATATTTATATTTCAAACTTTAAAAATAAATAAATATAATTTTACTATTCATTTTATTAAATTTTGTTGACGTGTTAATCGAGTTTTAATATCACGTTTAATTTGTTTATACCGTTTTAATATGTTTTAATTTAAATGTTAATTTAAAGCATGGTTAAACAGTTTAAAATACTTAATATTATTATATTAAAAAATTATATCTATTATTTTTAAAGTTTGAAAATAAAAATATATCAAAATGTATACTTAACTTTTTTAGTTTTAAATAATGATTATTTAAAAAAATTAAATAACAAAGAAAAATTTTACACAAAGAAAAAGAAAAATCTTTTATATTTAGGTATATATATTTAAATTAATTATAATTACATGTAAAATTAATTATAATTTATTTTGTATTAAAAGCATAAATAGACAGTAAATATATAACAAGTAAAGAAAAGAAATGAGAAGTATCTCCTTGCATAAATATATTTCTTACACGTCTTTTGTAAAGCATTTTATGTATTTCAAATCATTTTCTTAATTCCAAATTTTCTTATTGTTGTAAGCAAAATTAGACTAACTTTGCAGATAGAAAAAAAATAGAACAAATTTTATATTAGAATTTCTACTTATGGTTGGTTGCACGCACTCTTGTCTTAAAATGAGAAAAAATCATTAGAATTTAGAATTTCCAACAAGACACAAACCTCACATATTGTAAGCAGTAAGCTCTAATAGAGATAAAAATAAAGAAAATAGTAGAAGAAAACATTAGCAGGAACAGCAAAAATGTATAAAATAATTTCAAAGGTAGGAAAAATGAAAATCTGAATTAAGAATGGGTTTCCCTTGCTGTAAAAGTTAATATAATAAGACAAGCAAAAAGGAATGGAGAAAACAAAAGGATTAAGAAGTGAATCAAAAAGCCCTGCCTCCTTCCCTTGTTCTCTCTTTTGCAGTATTCTATCGTGTGACGTGTTGAATGTTGCCGCTCTTTACATTTGCTTCATACTCATAATGTTGCTACCATACCCTTTTAAGCCTTCCTTCTTATCTCACATTGCTCAATGCTTTGCATCGCTCGTCTCATTGCTTTCGTCTTCTTTCCCTACTACAGCTTCACCCTCACCCTCTGTTCCATCTGCATTTCCATTGCATTCTTCCCTACCTACCATATTTCCATCCACTTTACCTTTTGGTGAAGAATTTGTGGTGTTATGGTTAGATTTCCAACTTTCCTTTCCCGACATGGCTGATGATGTGTTTTCCCCGCTGGGATTCCCGTCAGGTAAGTGTTGAGATGAAGTGGTGCCTGAGCCAGGTGGAGGGAGGAAGACTCCTGTGCCGGGAACAGGCATTCGTGGAGGTGGATGCCTCTGAGGAGCAGAGGCCCATCCGGTTGAACCAGGTGGAATTGGCACAGCTGGAGGATATGAAATGGGAGGTGCAACTGCTGCTGGCACAAACAATGTCTGCATACTGTTTGGAGGTGCTCGAATGGATGGCGCCGGCAGTACTCCGGTTGCCGGAACAGTGGGATAATGCTTCGGGCCTAATTGATGGCGCATGTGATTGGGATTTCGGCTCGGTGGTGGTGCCCAATGAGATGTCAACGGCGGACTAAGTCGTTGAGAATCACTTGGCAGAGAAGTTTTTGGTTGGGACTTTGTGAAGGTCACAAGTATCCGTTGTTTGTGAATAGAAGGAAGTGCATGTTTAGCTAAATCAGTTGATTTCCCTTGCATCACCAGAAGGGACCTTCGGTTGCCAGAGTAAATAGGTCATATCAGGAGAGAGCTCACCACAGGGAAATCCAACAAATTTAAAAATCACTAACATGACAGACTATAATATAACAGATAAAATTGATCTCAAGTTAAAATAATAAAATTTTAGCCAAAAGAGAATTTTTGAGTGAAATATGAAAAGAAGTCTTTATAAACATAAGAAATGCAAAAGAATATTTAATAATTGTTGCTATCTAATCAGTATTGGTATAAAAATTTAAAATCAACACAAAACAAGGCAATTGAAAAGTATCTGTCATGGTTACCACATCACAAAACCACTGCTTTAAATTGTACATTATTCTCCTCAGGTATTCAGTATAGAATGAGAATAGAGGGCATAGCAAGCAACATTATGCTGCATCAGCAAATGTAAAAGCAGAGAAAAATTCAAGTTCAACAAAAGCCATTTTCAAAAAAATAGAAGGCTGTAGTAATAGTTGAAAAAACTTCACTCCAATGACAAATATTGTCAGCATATATCTCATGGCAGAGAAAACGTTTTCTAGAACCAGAGTCGAACTACAATTACAATAATATAATAGGAAACAGATTTCATCTTTAAGAAAGAAATACAAATCCTCAGAAAACGTATCTTCAACAGTGTATCAAAGTAACTAAAATTTGTTGATGCACATGGCTTTATTTCGAGTGGAAACAAACATCTAATTCATGGATTAACTAAAGGATGTTGTTATTCATGGATTAACTCAACATCAAGAGATAGATTTATCAACTACAGACTTTAACATAAATAACTAACACCGTATTAAAAAAAATTAAAGATCGAAGTCAAAATGAAGGCAATGAGGGCTTTTGTTTTCCAGTAAATTTAGAATCTAATAGCTAATATGGACTCAACTAGATCTAGGTCTAACTAAAACTTGTAATAGAAATAAATAGTTGAGTACAGACAATTATGTATTGAATTAACACAATTTCATTGGCTTCTATGATGCTAATGTGATCCTATGGACAAATAAAAATATCAGAACCACTCGCAAAAAATAGATAAGGTTAACAAATATTACCCTGGTAAAAGAGAAAGCTTGACTGCACCCCTATAATCCCCAGGATGGTCCGAGACAATTATTCTCCCAAAAGTAATGTCACATTCAGTTAGGAAAAGCGTACAAACAGGCCTTCCAAACCAAGGTGGACAACTATTAGGCTGTGAATGATCACCCTACAGATGATTGCAATACCAAGTTACGTAAAAATATATTACACAGTTATAAATTAAATTCCTCCCAACCCTCCCAAAAAACAAAGGAAAAGAGGCAACCTCATTAAAGAAATCCACAATGCAAGCATCAGGCTTCACAGTCATCACTTGTGAGGCAGCCAAGCGCTCAATAATATCTTGGAACAAAGAAGGTATAGATTCTACTTTCTTATCTGTGAGATTCAAATGGTGTGTTAGGCAACCGTAACCACTACTCTAGAAAGAAATGAACAAAAACAAAAAGAACACACAAAACACAATTGATTTTTCATTGTCTTAATTTTGTAGGATACAGTCATTCGTATAATGATGGGCTGGATTACAGTAACTTGGCCCAATAATAAGGATCCATAAGAACATAAAATAGAATGCTAACATAAAATATAATATTTCATCTCATGCATACTGGTGCTGAGACCCTGCATCAACTAGGCCCACTAACCATAGGTCCCGTAACAATACCCTCCACTTCAATAGAAACCTTGCCCTCAAGGTTGAGTGGGGCATGGTGATTGAGGGACAAATTGGGCCAGTAGGGTGAGGTGTCGGGCTTGCCACAAGAAAAGGTATAGCCGTGGGTTGAGAGGCTGGTGTTGGTTGTGTGATGGACCAATCTGGGGAAAGATGCAGGATTAATGAGTTGGGTTGATCTTGTGCATTGATCAAAGAGTTTAAAAAGCACCAACAGTTGCATTGGAAGTGGGCTTGGTACATGTGGGATAAGCTTTAAATGAAGCAGTTAAGTATAACCTCAGGCGGTAAATCCAGTACCCTAATGCAAATCTCCTCAAAATTTTCCTGATAGTGGGCCATGGAACAATATTGTCGTAGCTTAAAGAGTCCAACCTGATAATGTTTATAAGAGTATGGAAACAGATTTCTGAAGCCTTAGAATGGTAAACTGCGAGTTGTGATACTTCCATTTATACCTACTAAGAGGCCCTTAATATAGAAATAAGCCATGTATAAATGTTAGTCTGTAAGAGGACCTCATACAACAAGAGAAGATATGTGAGGGTTTTGGGGATATATGGGGTTTGGTCATATGCAGGTATAAGGGTGTAGTGGCATGAGAGAAAGGGTAAATAGGGCAGGGTTGTTAAGATACAAAAGAAGCATGAGGGGAGGGAGCAAGAGGAATCATGGTGATGGTAAAAATATGGGGTTGAGGAGGAGGTGGAATAGGTTGAGAGACCATAGGGGAATACAACATTCCATAAGGAGGCAGTAGTAATGAGCAGGGAAATACCAAGGTTGTGGGGCAATTGTAATGAGGTAGATGTTAGTACAAAGGGATGAAACCTGGCTTTTTAGAGTATCCATGGTTGCCTGTATGGAATCATAACAATTGTCCATGGTTTGTTGCAGAAGCTAATGATGGTTGTCTTGAGCTTCCATAAAAGCTTACATAGATTTATACAGCTCATGGATAGCTTTTTGAGGTAATTGGTATATTTGGAAGGTTTGGGAAGCATGTAGACTGGTGACAAAAAGCACCACTTTGTAAGGCACCCACTACTACTACCCTAAAAAGAAATGTCCAACAACGAAATAAAAAAGAGAAACATCACACGCTATTCTATTGTCCTAATTTTGTAGGATAGTCACCCCCACACATATATCAATGGACAGGATTGCAGTAACTTGGCCCAATAACAAGGGTTCACAAGGAAATAAAATAGAGATCCTAATTTAAAATATAATCCTTCATCCATGCTAGTGCTTGGGCCTTGTGTTTACTAGACCCAGTGAACGAGTAG